CCTTCCTCCTCCCCTCCCCCTCCTCCTCCCTGCCCCCCCGTCCACTCACTGGGTCCCTTGAGGAGCACCCGCAGTTCCCCGGTGCCGGCGCCCTTGGTCATCACCTTGAAGTCGGCCACCTCCTGCACCCGCACCCCCTTGGGCTGCAGCCCCCGCCCGGTGGCCCGACAGGCCGAGGGGGTACACGCTGCCGGGGGGGGGGACAACAACAACAGCACCCTCAGCACCCAACACCCCCACTGTCACCTTGGGGACACGGTGGGGGGGACAGGATGGGGTTATGGGCACCCCTGGGGGACGTGGGGTCCAGAGGGGCATAAGGGACCCTGGGGACACCACAGGGACAGAGGGGTGGCATGGGGACACCTTGGGGACACCATGGGACGTAGGGACCCATAGAGACACCCTGGGGCATAAGGGGTGCCATGGGGACATCTTGGGGACACCCAGGGGACATAGGGACCCATGGGGACACCACAGGGATGGAGGGGTGGCATGGGGACACCATGGGACATAAGGGACCCATGGGGACACCCTGGGGACATAAGGGGGCGCCATGGAGGCTAGGAACCCATGGGGACACCATGGGATGTAGGGACCCCAGGGACACCACCGGGATGGAGGGGTGGCATGGGGACACCCTGGGGACACCATGGGACATAGGGACCCATGGGGACACCCTGGGGATGGAGGGGTGGCATGGGGACACCTTGGGGACACCATGGGACACAGGGACCCCGGGGACACCCTGGGGACAGAGGGGTGGCATGGGGACACCTTGGGGACACCATGGAACAAAGGGACCCATGGGGACACCCTGGGGACATAAGGGGGTGCCATGGAGGCTAGGAACCCATGGGGACACCATGGGATGTAGGGACCCTGGGGACAACCTGGGGACAGAGGGGTGGCATGAGGACACCTTGGGGACACCTTGGGACATAAGGGACCCATTGGGACACCCTGTGGCATAAGGGGTGCCATGGGGACATCTTGAGGACACCGTGGGTCAGGGAGTTACCATGGGACACTGTGGGACATCAGAGACCCATGGGGACACCCAGGGGATGAAGTGGTGGCATGGGGACACCTTGGGGACACCATGGGACATAGGGACCCCGGGGACACCACGGGGATGGAGAGGTGGCATGAGGACACCTTGGGGACACCATGGGACATAGGGACCCCAGGGACACCACGGGGACAGAGGGGTGGCATGGGGACACCTTGGGGACACCATGGGACATAAGGGACCCATGGGGACACCCTGGGGACATAAGGGAGTGCCGTGGAGGCTAGGAACCCATGGGGACACCATGGGATGTAGGGACCCTGGGGACAACCTGGGGACAGAGGGGTGGCATGGGGACACCTTGGGGACACCATGGGACATAGGGACCCCAGGGACAACACGGGGATGGAGGGGTGGCGTGGGGACACCTTGGGGACACCATGGAACATAGGGACCCTGGGGACACCACGGGGACACCTTGGGGACACCTTGGGACATAAGGACCCCGGGAACACCACGGGGATGGAGGGGTGGCATGGGGACACCCTGGGGACACCATGGGACGTAGGGACCCTGGGGACACCACGGGGACAGAGGGGTGGCGTGGGGACACCTTGGGGACACCATGGGACGTAGGGACCCCGGGGACACCCTGGGGATGGAGGGGTGGCATGGGGACACCTTGGGGACACCATGGGACATAGGGACCCCGGGGACACCACAGGGACAGAGGGGTGGCATGGGGACATCTTGGGGACACCATGGGGCATAAGGGGTGCCATGGGGACACCTTGGGGACACCATGGGACATAGGGACCCCGGGGACACCACAGGGACAGAGGGGTGGCATGGGGACATCTTGGGGACACCATGGGGCATAAGGGGTGCCATGGGGACACCTTGGGGACACCACGGGACATAAGGGACCCATAGAGACACCCTGGGGACAGAGGGGTGTCATGGGGACACCTTGGGGACACCATGGGACATAAGGGGTGCCATGGGGACATCTTGGGGACACCGCGGGACAGAGGGGTGTCATGGGGACACCATGGGACATAAGGACCCTGGGGACACCACAGGGACAGAGGGGTGGCATGGGGACACATTGGGGACACCATGGAACATAAGGGACCCATAGAGACACCCTGGGGACATAAGGGGGTGCCATGGAGGCTAGGAACCCATGGGGACACCATGGGATGTAGAGACCCCGGGGACACCACGGGGACAGAGGGGTGGCATGGGACAACCCTTGGGGCCATGGACAACCACGACGCCGGGCACAGGGCCACAATAAGCACTGATGGGTGCCATGGGGCCACCTGGGGTACTGATGGGTGCCATGGGGCCACCTGGGGTACTGATGGGTGCCATGGGGCCACCTGGGGTACTGATGGGTGCCATGGGGCCACCTGGGGTACTGATGGGTGCCATGGGGCCACCTGGGGTACTGATGGGTGCCATGGGGCCACCTGGGGTACTGATGGGTGCCATGGGGCCACCTGGGGTACTGATGGGTGCCATGGGGCCACCTGGGGTACTCATAGAGACACCCTGGGGACATAAGGGGGGGCCATGGGGACATCTTGGGGACACCCAGGGGACAGAGGGGTGTCATGGAGGCTACAGGTGCCACGGGGACACCCTGGGGATGGAGGGGTGGCATGGGACAACCCTTGGGGCCATGGAAAACCATGACGCAGGGCACAGGGCCACCATGAGCACTGATGGGTGCCATGGGGCCACCTGGGGTACTGATGGGTGCCATGGGGCCACCATGGACACAGAGGTACCACAGGGCCACCGGGGGAACTGATGGGTGCCACAGGGCCACCTGGAGTATTGATGGGTGCCATGGGGCCACCATGGACACAGAGGTACCATGGGGCCACCATGGGCACTGATGGGTGCCACGGGGCCACCAGGGGAATCTATGGGTGCCAAGGGGCCACCAGGGGCACTGACATGCACCATGAGACAACCTGGGGTATTGATGGGTGCCATGGGGCCACCATGGACACAGAGGTACCATGGGACCACCAGGGGCACTGATGGGTGCCACAGGGCCACCGGGGGAATCGATGGGTGCCACGGGGCCACCATGGGCACTAACAGGCACCATGGGGCCACCTGGGGTATTGATGGATGCCATGGGGCCACCATGGGCACAGAGGTGCCATGGGGCCACCCTAGGGGGTGCGAGGGTGCCACAGGACAACCCTTGTGGCCACGGACAACCACAGGGGTGCCATGGGGCCACCTGGGGAGTTGATAGGTGTCACGGGACCACCAGGGGAATCGATGGGAGTCACGGGACCACCAGGGGAATCGATGGGAGTCATGGGGCCACCACGGGCACTGATGGGTGCCACGGGGCCACCACGAGGACCCCCCCGGGGACAGGAGGGGGGGGGACAACAACAACAGCACCCTCAGCACCCAACACCCCCACTGTCACCTTGGGGACAGGGTGGGGGGGACAGGAGGGGGTTATGGACACCCCTGGGGGACGTGGGGTCCACAGGGGCATAAGGGACCCATGGGGACACCCTGGGGACATAAGGGGGGACCATGGAGGCTAGGAACCCATGGGGACACCACGGGGACAGAGGGGTGGCATGGGGACACCTTGGGGACACCATGGGACATAAGGACCCCGGGGACACCATGGGGATGGAGGGGTGGCATGGGGACACCTTGGGGACACCATGGGACATAGGGACCCCGGGGACACCCTGGGGACAGAGGGGTGGCATGGGGACACCACGGGGACACCTTGGGACATAAGGGACCCATAGAGACACCCTGGGGATGGAGTGGTGGCATGGGACAACCCTTGGGGCCATGGAAAACCATGACGCAGGGCACAGGGCCACCATGAGCACTGATGGGTGCCACGGGGCCACCCGGGGTGTTGATGGGTGCCACAGGGCCACCATGGACACAGAGGTACCATGGGGCCACCATGGGCACTGATGGGTGCCATGGAGGCCACCATGGACATAGAGGTACCACGGGACACCAGGGGAATCAATGGTTGCTGTGGGGCCACCATGGGCACAGAGGTACCATGGGGCCACCATGGGCACTGATGGGTGCCACGGGACCACCTGGAGTATTGATGGGTGCCATGGGGCCACTGTGGCCACTGACAGGCACCATGGGGCCACCTGGGGTATCGATGGGTGCCATGGGGCTTCCATGGACACAGAGGTACCATGGGGCCACCATGGGCACTAATAGGTGCCATGGGGCCACCATGGACACAGAGGTGCCACAGGACCACCTGGGGTATTGATGGGTGCCATGGGGCCACCATGGACACAGAGGTACCATGGGGCCACCATGGGCACTGATGGGTGCCATGGGGCCACCCTAGGGGGTGTGAGGGTGCCACAGGACAACCCTTGTGGCCATGGACAACCACAGGGGTGCCATGGGACCACCCGGGGAATCAATGGGTGTCACGGGACCACCAAGGGAATCGATGGGTGTCACGGGACCACCAGGGGAATCAATGGGAGTCATGGGGCCACCACGAGGACCCCCCCGGGGCAGGACCCACCTTCAGCCACGTTGACGGTGAAGGGGCTCTTGGGGATCTGGGCGCCAGCGTAGGTGACACAGATGGTGTGTGGCCCCTCCAGGACGGGCCGGTAGGTGCAGCGGTAGATGTTGTCCCCTTTGTCCTCCAGCATCACCTCCACCGTGTCCCGCCGGCCTTGGGGGTCCACGATCACCACCCCCACGTCGCCCGGGCCGGCCCCTGTCACCGTGAGGACACGAGCTTAGTGCCACCAGGCCATGGCACCCTGAAGACATGGTTCTACAGCCACCAAGTCGTGTCATGGCCATGGCACCAGGAGAACATGGCACCAGAGCCACCAGGCCACCATGAGAACATGGCACCAGAGCCACCAGGCCATGCCATGGCCATGCCACCATGAAGACATGGTTCCCCTGCCACCAAGTCACACCATGGCCATGCCACCAGCAGGACATGGCCACCAGAGGCATCAAGAGGATGTGGCCCCAGAGCCACCAGGCCATCCCACGGCCATGGCATGAGGAGGTCACAGTCTCAGTGCCACCCAGGTCTTCCCATGGCCATGCCACCATGAGGACATGTCCTCTGAGCCACCAGGCCACCTTATGGCCATGCCACCATGAGGAGATGCCCTCAATGCCATCAGGCCAACCTATGGCCATACCACCATGAAGACGTGGCCTCAGTGCCACTAGGACATGCCACCATGAGAACATGTCCCCTGAGCCACCAAGCTATGCCATGGCCATGCCACCATGAAGACGTGTCTCCTGAGCCACCAGGTCATCCCATGGCCATGCCACCATGAGGACATGTCCCCTGAGCCACCAGATCATCCCATGGCCATGCCACCACGAGGACATGCCCTCAGAGCCACCAGGCCACCTTATGGCCATGCCACCATGAGGAGATGCCCTCAATGCCACCCAGCACCACCATGGCCATGCCACCATGAGAACATGGCCCTCAATGCCACCCAGCACCACCACGGCCATGCCACCCTGAGGACATGTCCTCTGAGCCACCAGGTCATCCCATGGCCATGCCACCACGAGGACATGCCCTCAGAGCCACCAGGCCACCTTATGGCCATATCACCATGAGGACGTGACCCTCAATGCCACCCAGCACCATCATAGCCATGCCACCATGAGGACATGTCCCCTGAGCCACCAGGTCATCCCATGGCCATGCCACCATGAGGACATGCCCTCAATGCCACCAGGCCAACCTATGGCCATGCCACTATGAGGAGATGCCCTCAATGCCACCCAGCACCACCATGGCCATGCCACCATGAGGACATGTCCTCTGAGCCACCAGGCCACCTTATGGCCATGCCACCATGAGGACGTGGCCCCAGAGCCACCAGGCCACCTTATGGCCATGCCACCATGGGGACACGGTCTCAGAGCCACCCAGCACCACCACGGCCATGCCACCACAACGACATGGCCTTGGTGCCACTAGGACATGCCACCATGAGGACATGTCCTCTGAGCCACCAGGCCATCCCATGGCCATGCCACCATGAGGACACATCCTCAGAGCCACCAGGCCAACCTATGGCCATGCCACCATGAGGACATGTCCCCTGAGCCACCAGGCCACCCCATGGTCATGCCACCACAAGGACATGACCCTCAATGCCACCAGGCCAACCTATGGCCATGCCACCACGAGAACATGTCCCCTGAGCCACCAGGTCATCCCATGGCCATGCCACCATGAGGACATGGCCTCAGTACCACTAGGACATGCCACCATGAGAACATGTCCCCTGAGCCACCAGGCCATGCCAAGACCATGCCACCATGAGGACATGCCCTCAGAGCCACCAGGTCATCCCATGGCCATGCCACCATGAGGACATGACCCTCAATGCCACCAGGCCAACCTATGGCCATGCCACCATGAGGACGTGACCCTCAATGCCACCCAGCACCATCATGGCCATGCCACCATGAGGACATGTCCCCTGAGCCACCAGGCCATGCCAAGACCATGCCACCATGAGGACATGTCTCCTGAGCCACCAGGCCAACCTATGGCCATGCCACCATGAGGAGATGCCCTCAATGCCACCCAGCACCACCACGGCCATGCCACCCTTCAGCGTCACCTCACACCACGTCCCCACACCTCCCCGGAGCAGTTGTCACCCACCCCGCCCCGTTGGGTGGTGGCCCCCAGAGCCCACCTGCGGTGTAGATGTCGAAGTAGGTGGGCTTGTTGGCCACGTTGCCGACGGGCTCCAGGCCGGGGCCACGCGCTGTCACCTTGTTGGCATCCCCCAAGGCCATGCCCACGTTGACACCAAAGGGGCTCTTGTCGATGTTCTGCCCCGCGAACAGCACCGTCACCTGGGGGGACAAGGAGGAGTCAGGAGGTGGCCGTGTCCCCCAGTGCCACCTTGGTCACCTGGCCAAGGCCACAGGTGGAGTGCCACCAGGCCATGACGTTGCTGTGCCACCATAAGGACGTGATGGCAGTGGCACCTGGCCGTGCCACCATGAGGACGTGGCCCCAGAGCCACCAGGCCACCCCATGGCCATGTCACCATGAGGACATCCCTGGTGCCACCAAGTGATGCCTTGGCCATGCCACCATGAGATCATGCCCTCAGTCCCACCAGGCCACCCCATGGCCATGCCATCATGAGGACATGGTCTCAGTCCCACCAGCTCATCCCATGGCCATGCCACCATGAGATCATGTCTCCAGTGCCACCAGTCATGCCATGGCCATGACACCATGCGATCATGTCCTCAGTGCCACCAGGCCACCCCATGGCTGTGCCACCATGAGGACATGGCCCCAGAGCCACAAGGTCATGCCAGGGCCATGCCACCATGAGGACGTCCCCTGGGCCACCAGGTGATGCCTTGGCCATGTCACCATGAGATCATGTCCTCAGAGCCACCAGGCCATTCCATGGCCGTGCCACCATGAGGACATCCCTGGTGCCACCAGGTGATGCCTTGGCCATGCCACCATGAGGACATGTCCCCAGAGCTACCAGGCCACCCCATGGCCATGTCACCATGAGGACATCCCCGTGCCACCAGGCCACTCCATGGCCATGCCACCATGAGATCATGTCTCCAGTGCCACCAGGCCATGCCATGGCCACGCCACCATGAGGACATGTCTCCAGTGCCACCAGGCCACCCCATGGCCATGCCACCATGAGGATGTGGCCCCAGAGCCACCAGGTCATGCCATGGCCATGCCACCATGAGATCATGTCTCCAGAGCCACCAGGTCATGCCATGGCCATGCAACCATGAGGACATCCCCGGTGCCACCAGCTGATGCCTTGGCCATGCCACCATGAGATCACGTCTCCAGAGCCACCAGGCCATGTCGTGGCCATGCCACCATGAGGACGTGGCCTCAGTCCCACCAGCTCATCCCATGGCCATACCACCATGAGATCATATCCTCAGTGCCACCAGACCACGTCATGGCCGTACCATCATGAGGACATGGCCCCAGAGCCACCAGGTCATGCCATGGCCATGCCACCATGAGGACGTCCCCGGGGCCACCAGGTGATGCCTTGGCCATGCCACCATGAGATCATGCCCTCAGTGCCACCAGGTCATGCCATGGCCACGCCACCATGAGGACATCCCTGGTGCCACCAGGTCATGCCATGGCCATGCCACCATGAGATCATGTCTCCAGTGTCACCAGGTCATGTCATGGCCATGCCACCATGAGATCATGTCTCCAGTGCCACCAGGCCATGCCATGGCCATGCCACCAGAGGGGACACTAAGTAGGACACCCCAAGGACCACCATCACCATACCCTTGGGGACCCCACCACCCCTCGGTGGCCACCCACCCCCTGGAGACTCCCATGTGGGTGGGGGGGTGCTGTGGGTGCTCACCTTGTGTAGCCCCCCAACCTTGGGCACGTAGGTGACGCTGTAGGTCCTCTTCTTGTCGTTGTTGGGCACCACCTTGGCCTGGAACCCCAACAAGAGGGGGAGGTGACACAGAGCCATGCCACCATGAGATCATGTCTCCAGTGTCACCAGGTCATGTCATGGCCATGCCACCATGAGATCATGTCTCCAGTGCCACCAGGCCATGCCATGGCCATGCCACCAGAGGGGACACTAAGTAGGACACCCCAAGGACCACCATCACCATACCCTTGGGGACCCCACCACCCCTCGGTGGCCACCCACCCCCTGGAGACTCCCATGTGGGTGGGGGGGTGCTGTGGGTGCTCACCTTGTGTAGCCCCCCAACCTTGGGCACGTAGGTGACGCTGTAGGTCCTCTTCTTGTCGTTGTTGGGCACCACCTTGGCCTGGAACCCCAACAAGAGGGGGAGGTGACACAGAGTTGGAGACCTGGGGACATCTCAAGGAGGGGGGGGGACATCTCAAGGAGGTGGGGGGACACCCCTACCCCCCAACCTACCTCCTCGGTGTGACCTTCAGGGTCCTCCACGTAGACCAGGACCTCTCCCACCCCGGCGTCGAGGGTCTCCACCGTGAACTGGGCGGGTCTCAAAACCACGTTGCCCTGGGGCTCGATACCTGTGGGGGGGACAATCCCCGCCCCCCAAGTCAGGGGACAACCCCCCAAGTCAGGGGACACCCCGAGGTGGACATCTCCCTCCCAAGCCACCACCTCTCAGGACCTTCAGGTGGCCCTTGGAGGTGGCAGAAGGTCCCTCACCCAAAGGTATGGAGGGGGCTCTGGGGGCGTGGGTGGCCCCTGGGTGTTGGGGGGGGACACTGGGGGGTCACTGGGTG